GTACAAACACAATGTTTTTTACTGCATTTCCAGTGTTTTTTTTCACGTGACCCAAAAAAGGCACCAAAAACGCAACCATGGGTGTGTTTTTGACATGTTTTCATTTCATCTCAATGGTGAGGTGTTTTTTTGCCGCAGATGAGGTTTTTATGCATTTTTGCAGAATTTTTCATTCATTTAAATGGGGAGGTGTTTTTTTTTTTTTACAGCACCAAAATGCAGCTTAAAGGATTTTGATAAATGCAATGGACCCACAACTGACCAAGGTGACGAGTTCCATCAGATTTAATGGTCATACGTTTTTCTTCTGCTTTATTTAATGCAAAATGTAGAAATGAAGAAAAATGTATCAGTGTGAAAACTTTAGGGGGGCAGAAGTGCAGGTTTGATCTATTGACACACACAGTGCGGCTCGGCCCCACCTCCCGCTGCTTCCTCACTGAATTTGACTGACAGCAGCAGGAGCCAGTGGCTCCCGTTTCTGCCTGTTAGTCTCTGTGTGAAGACCGATACAGAAATAAGGTAAGTGTTTAGAGGGGGAGGGGGGCAAGGCAACACTTAATCTTAGTGGTAGTAAACCTAAAGAACCTAAAAAAAGAGAATTTTTCCCCTGCAAGGTAATGTCATAATGTGTTAGTATGCATCGCAAGATGAAAGACTTCCCTGAGAAAGAAGCCCTCCAGCGGCTCACTGTCACCACTGCAGAGGTTTCTGTCTTCACCCGGTCATCCGGTCATCTCCGGGTTCCCGGGCTGCAGCCATTTGAATGGCCAAAGCCATGGTGACATCACTCCAGCGCATGCGCGTGCAACCTACAGCCGCAGCACACAGCTCTGAAGGAACGGCACCGGTATGCCGTTTCTTCAGACCGCATGCGCCACTGATGTCACCATCTGCCATTCACTAAAATATCTCCTAAACGGTGCACATTTTGGAGATATTCATTTTACCTACAGGTAAGCTTTGTTATAAGCGGACGTGTAGGTAAAAGTTGAAAAAAATTAGTTTACTACCACTTTAAGATAAAAAAATGTTTTAGCTTTAGAACCACTTTAATGCATATGTGAACCCTCACCTTGTAAAAAAAAACTGTTCAGTTTACAACAGAAATGAAAGGGAGACATTTGTGTATATAAATATTAAAAACATCTAAATGCCTTCTTTATCTTTTTTTATAAGTGATCACATGCCCTCTGTTCTCAGCTGCATAAGGGACTTAGAGAGATGAGGGTGGAGAACCAGTAGTACACTGATCTTCCCAGTGAATGGCTGTGCAGGGGAGGGGGTATCAGTACTGGAGGATAGGTAGGCTATTCTTCCAGCACAGCCAGAAAACTGACCACGCTGAGATGGATGTGCTCTCAAGCCTAAAGTGGTCAGTTTTTAATAGGAAAGCAGGGGGACTGGTAGGATCACAAGGTATTTCACACAGAGAAGAAATACAAAGAAAACAGGATACTTTTCATACAAGTACATAGTACAACAGACACATATCAGGAATTTGAAATGTTGGGGTAACATATTCATTATTGTTTACCAAGCAAAATTTTTTTTTCTCTTTCTTGGGAACCTTGAGAAATATTTTGCATAAACAATTAACCTTACATGATCTCTTCATTAGCTATTCCAAAATGCTTCTTTTCAAAACAAGTCTCTGTGATCACTGCCAGTATACTTGTTTCAGCCAAATCAGGATTTCCACAGTTTTAGCTCTGGAAAAGTAGTCACTAATCATTAAGAGATTAAAGTGAAAAGTCTTGCTTAAAAAGGAACAATTCGTTCTGCATTTTGTTGGTTTCAGACACATAAGCACAATAATGCTGAACATAGAACATGCCTTCCCTGTACGCATACAAAACCCCACTTCAATTGTAGCATGTTTTTCTTCCTAATACAGCATGAAGTGTTTCTCCACCTACTACAATTTTCCGTGATGTATAATAAATGAAAAATTCAGCAAGGTCACTCCACATCTTAAGATGTGATGCTCAGTGCATTTCAAGGTATGCCATTTATCTTCAGCTGGAGAGCTTTTTGTTAACATTTTGAAAAATAGCATTTTAATAACTCAAAGCCCATTTCCATCCTTTAGTAACCCAGTCCTCCCACCCCCTCCCTTCCCAAACCTATTTTTTTTAACTAGATGAATACCTAATTGATTCCAGCTGTCTTCTGACTATTTCGATGAAATCATGAGTCCTTCCCCTACTTCAGTTATTGGCGCTCCTTACTGCAAGCACTGAGCACAGCTCATGTAATGATGTTTTCAGAGCAGGAATATTGTGAGCCAAAACCGGCATGGTAGCTTGAAACCGCTACTCACCTTAGCCGATCCTGGTATGGATGTGTACATGTGAAAGCCTCAGTCAATGGCTCTCCTCAGACCATGCCCTTACATGTTTCGCCCCACCCACCGGGGCTTAATCATAGGACCCCTATGATTAAGCCCTGGTGGGTGGGGCAAAACATGTCAGAGGGCATGGCCCGAGGAGCAATATTGACTAAGGCTTTCACATGTACACATCCATACCAGGATCGGCTAAGGCAAATGGCGGTTTCAAGCTAAAATATTCATTGCTCGCTGGATGCGTTTTTCTTACGCTGTCATCCCTACCATCCTGAGTGCCAATGGGGCTCTACACTTCAGCCTGGAGAGGCATCACCAACTACTTACAGAATGTCATGGTGATGCACTCCCATGACTCCATGACAAAGTAAAAAGGGCAACCACTCAGATCAGATAAACATGCTGGGAAAAGTTTTTGTATTGGTGCATTCACGACAGCCTGGGCTCACAGAAAGTGCTATTCATACAACACAGAAGTGGCAGTAACAAACAGTGAAATCAGAGGGCAGTTTTGCAGTATGAAGAGGGTGAGTAGTGCTACAAGATCAAATTGGAAAAAAAAAAAAACAAAGCATGTGTCAAGTCAAAAACTTGTAGTGTAGTTTTGGATAGACCGGAAATGTTTTTTACAGCTATCCAGGGCTTAGTTATACAGGTTAAAGCTGGCTTTAAAAGGATCAAAATTTGGCCAGTCCCTGCTGAACTGGCCACATTTCGGTCCATGTATTGGCACCCTGGTTGAATAGAAGCGGATCTCCAGATTGTTGGACAAATGCCACTCGATCAGTGCCACTGGCTATAGCCTTATCTCAGCAACTCCCCCCGTTGTCAGAACACAATAGCGATTCCCCCCTCCACCATGTGTGGATGGGGGAATCGGGTAATTATTTTGTTTAACCAGCTGGTTGAGTGAAAAAAAAATGCATGGGCTGCCACACTCTAGCGTGCTGTGCTGTTGATAAGGGTTTCACCAGACAAAAGGTGAGGGGATAACTTCAACAGCAACACAGACAGGTGTCCTAACCTTCCCCTCACTTCCTGTCAGGTAAAACATTGTCAGCAGGACAGAAACCGAGAGTAAGGCAAAATCGTTCGAAAATCGAACCTAAGATTAATCAGCTGATTTTCACTCTGTTAGTGGGGCAATGGTACCGGCTGATTTTCGTGGTTCCTCCCCATTTCGTTTATCGGACATGCTTGAAAATTTGTGAAAAACTACCAATTTTTTAAATCATTGGTGGCACCATCGGATTACAGAACAATGTTTTCGATTTGCGATCGAAAAAAATCATTCGGAATTCGACCCATGTATGGCCTCCTTAAGATCCTATTCACACTTGTGATTCGAGACAGACTATGAATTCCTGTGGGAGACACAGTGGGGTTTATGTGAACAGCTGTGGGAGGGAAGCCCAATAAACTGAGATGTTGACAGCATCCATAGATATTAATGTCTGTTTGCCATCAAGACATGCCAGAAGATAGTCCACCCTGGATGCAACAGTTTGTTACCAAGGCCAATCATCCACAGGTACTTGTTGCATGTCTGACTGCAAATGGCTGTGGGAAAATTTGCAGTCTGACCCTAATCATAAAAGGTATATGGTGCATTTCTAACGGAGCCTGATCAACCACAAAAACCTGATAGAAGTTCTAATGTTTTCACACTATATCTCTTGTTTACTATACATATATACAAGATCACACAGTAACACACGAACCACCGTGAATGTCACTTCAATGTATTATTACATCAGGGGGTAATGCATCCACACTGCACCACATTACAAATCTTATGCCATGTGTTCTGGAGCACCGTGTCATAAAAAGATTAATTCTGTTAATGCATTAAAGTAGAACTTCACCCAAAACAGGAAGTCCAGCTTTTCCTCCCCCCCCATAGTTGGAATGTCTTTTTTGGTCGAGGGGAGCTGGTACCAGATTTTGACAGGTACCAGCTCCCACGTCGGGTTAGATCACCGCGACGCTCCGAGTCCCCCCTCCCTTCCACCGCAGCCTCTTGGGACATATTAGAGGTCCCAGGAGACTGCAGGACCATTCACAGGGTGCACTGCAGCTCACGCATGCGCAGTGGGCAGCCAGCTGTGAAGCTGCAAGAAGTCACAGTTGACTGCCCACAGTTAAGATGCTGGTGCTTGGACCCAAAGACCGGCAAAGAGCTGGGTATGGTGAGGACATCCCTGGATCCTGTGACAGGCAAGTGTGTGGATCTTTTTAAAATCCAGCAGCTTCAGTATTTGTAGCTGCGGACTTTTTAATTTTTTTGTTAACAGGGTGAAGATCCTCTTTAACCACTTGCCTACTGGGCACTTATACCCCCTTCCTGCCCAGGCCTTTTCAGCTTTCAGCGCTGTTGCATTTTGAATGACAATTGTACGGTCATGCAATATTGTACCCATATAAACTTTTTATAATTTTTTTTCTCACAAATAGAGCTTTCTTTTGGTGATATTTAATCACCACTGGGTGTTTTATTTTTTGCGTTAGAAACAAAAAAAGAGCAAAAAATTTGAAAAATTGAGGCTGCACTGTTAGGCAGCACTGATGGGCACTGATAGGCAGCACTGATAAGCGGCACTGATAGGCAGCACTGATGAGATGGCACGGATAGAGAGCATTGATATGCAACAATAATGGGCACTGATGGGCAGCACTGATGGTCACTGATGGGTGGCTATGCTGGGCACAGGTGGGTGGCACTATTAGGCACTGCTGGGTGATACTGCTTGGCACTTGTGGTTGGCACTGGTGGGTGGCACTGCTGGGCACTGATAATTAGTGCCCTGATGATCGGTGCTGATCTGTTTTCTGGTTATCGGCAGTACTTTCCTCACGCTGTAACAATGTGAGGAAAGTGCAGCCGATAACCGGCAACTGCATTTACCTGGTGATCTGCTGTGTTATTGGACACAGCTGATCACGTGGTAAAAGGCTGCTGTGATTGGCCGTTTACCACATCACGTGATCAGCTGTGTCTGTAGGACACAGTGATCATGGATAACGCCAGGTGCGCACCCCCAGGTGCATGCAGGAGGGTGTGTTCTGGGAGGACGTCATATGATGCCCTCCCAGAACTGGACAACCGCGCTGTAGCCCTCATTCTGCTATAGTGCAGTTGGCAAGTGGTTAAAGTGGTTGTAAACCCTTACCAGTGAATTGACTGGCCTCAAGTGATACAAAGAGTTGAAACAAATCCCCCTACATATGTTGTACCTGTTTATCTTTAGCAATTTGTTCTGTACATTTTCATAAAACTCAGAGATGAAAATGATTTTTCACAGACTCACAAAGCAGGAGGCGGGAAGCTGTGTCCATAGGACACAGCAATCATGGAGATCGCCGGATGCGATCCACTGGGGGCACGTGGCAGGGTGCATTCTGGGAGGACGTCATATGACGCTCTCCCAGAACTGGACAACTACACTGTAGCCATCATTTGGCTATAGCGCGGTTGGCAAGTGGTTAAGGTTGTGCAAAAAGAATGTGCTACCTTAATGCACAGTATGGATGTGGAAATTCAAAAAAAGCACTACCAAAAGTTTTTTGACCCTTTGTGCAAGATTCCAAAATCCCTACCATCCATTTTGGTATTATATTAAAAATTAATTACCTCCAGTTCGTAGATAACAACATTGGGGATATTTAGGACCAACTTCAATTTGGCAGAGACAGGTAGAGTGCCCGTTCCTCTACACAGTGTTGCAAAGCAGCATTTTTGCCACCTCTACCCTCTCCCTGTAACTGGTTGTTAAGGACACTGTTGGCTGCAGTGGGCAGAGCCTGATGGGGAAGCTGAGACACTAGTTCCTCAACAGGTTCACTCTAACCTTGTAATTGACAGCAGGCAGTAGGTGGATTCTATAGTAAGTAGCAGGCAGTCTGTTAGCTAGGGATCTGCCTACTGCCTGCTTTCAACCACAAGGGGAGTGGACATGATAGGGAACACCCCCAGGTACAAAACTCCTTGCTGATGCGCTGTTTGACATGTGCAGCAGCAGGAAGAAGCACACTACACTGGAGGGGATACCTGTATGGATACCTTAGGGCAGGGGTGTCCAAACGTTTTTCAAAGAGGGCCAGATTGGATGAAGTGAACATGGTGGAGGGCCGAACATTTTTCCAAACATTCTTTGAACCATTACAATTAAATGCAAATAAATTATTTTATGCCAAGTTACCGTATTTTTCGCCGTATAAGACGCACCTGACCATAAGACGCACCTAGGTTTTAGAGGCAGAAAACAGGAAAAAAAAAAATTCTGAACTAATGGACTGCAGACACAGTACAGGAGATGACCAGAGACTGCGGACAGCACAGGGATGACCAGAGACTGCAGACAGCACAGGGATGACCAGAGACTGCGGACAGCACAGGGATGACCAGAGACTGCAGACAGCACAGGGATGACCAGAGACTGCGGACAGCACAGGGATGACCAGAGACTGCGGACAGCACAGGGATGACCAGAGACTGCGGACAGCACAGGGATGACCAGAGACTGCGGACAGTACAGATGACTGCTGACCTTTGGGGAGGTGGGGAGCGGGTACCTGAATTTGACAGGTACCCGCTCTTACTTCCGCAGAGTTTTTGTTTGATCTTACCTGTTCCTCGATCCAGCCGCGCGCTGTCTTCCCGGCTTCTGTAATGGCGCTCGGCATGACAGCCGGGTGCCCAGTGCGCATGAGCGAGAAGCACTTGCGCTTTGTGATTGGTCCGGCGGCTTCTGGGATCTGTCATGTGTCCCAGGTACCGCCTTACCATTCACAAAAAGCACCGCTTCTTGCGCATGCGCACTTGGCACCCGGCTGTCATGCCCAGCGCCCACACTACAGAAGCGGGGAAGACAGCGCGCCGCTGGATAGAGGAACAGGTAAGGTCCCGCTGCAGAGCTGAGCGGCCGGCCCGGTATTCTGACACAGACCGCGGTGGAAATACCGGACCGGCCGCTCCATATTCGCTCCATAAGACACACTGACACACTGACATGGAGGGCCGTATTAAACCGACCCTCGGGCCGTAAATGGCCCGCGGGCCGGACTTTGGACATGCCTGCCTTAGGGCACCTCCACACTTGCTACTTTCCCCATAATAATATGTCGGTCTACATCAGCTACATGAATCTTTTGCCCACATTTGTCATTTGTTGTGTGGAGGCATGTCGGAGTTCCAGAGATTGTCTTTATGAATTCCACTGATGGTCTGAATGGGGACCTTCTGTTATCAAATAGGTTTACACATTCCAACAAGAACTGAGCAGAAGGTTTTTTTTTTAGGTGATTCCACTTTCTTCTAAACTGTCAGAACTGTAAAACCTGTGGTATGTGTGTATTAAAACAACACATGTCCTATACAAGATCATTCACCCTCCTGGCCCCTGATCCTGCAAAGGGCCTGGCTAATACCTACTTTGCAGAAGCTCTGGAATGGCTGGTTAAAACTTTATCAAGCTCTATTGTTCAGCTCTTGTTGTAAACACTGAACAGCGGTGACCTTTATAATATGAACTCCATCTGCTTGTGTCAATTGCTGGTTATGAAATAGAAGGGTTTGCCTTGTGTTTGTGAAATGTGAGGGCAGGGTGGTTCCTGGTCATCCATCCACAGCCAATCACAGTGTTTCAGGAATGGATCATCCTCTGCTGAATCTCATATTGCACTATTAAAGATCATTCTGACAGGCCAGTATGGAAAATATTAAGACATAACTAAGATGTTTCTAATCCTCTAAACTGGACTTGTATATTTTTATGTTATTTGCATTTTTCTGTGTTATATAGATTCCAAGTTACAAACATATTAAAAACAAGAACAAGAAACCCGTCAAGGTGAATTGCCAGAAGCTCCTTACCACAGCCACATTTAAAGTATTACACCAACATTTCATATCCCTGATATGTGTCCGCTGTACCATTAACTTGTGTTAAAAAATATCACCTCTTTGTAATTCTTCCTTTGTGTGAAATATCTGGTGATATTGCCAGTTTCCCTGCTTTCCTATTTCAAACTGACCATGCTAAGCATAGAAGCACATCCATCACAGTATAGTGAGTTTTCTGGCTGTGCTGGGAATTCAGCCTGCCTGCCCTCCAATAGCCAAGTCAGTTTCAAGCTTTCATGGCAGACCATGTCCCCAGTGATGCATGGACTTTCCCAAACAAAAACCATAATAATGGTTAAAAATGTTCTCTTTTGAGAAAAATGTTCTACCCAGCTCCTTCTCACCACTGCAGTCAAAAAAGAATGCTGATTTGACCCTACTGCCAATTAGAAAATTGAATGAATGTTCTTATACCAAATATTTTTAATGCAATTCTAATAATCTATGGCCAATTTAAAGTGGAGCTAAACCCATCAATTTAACAGCTTAAAAAAAATTACATTCCTGAAATGCTAACTGTCACATTTGCTTGTACTGTCAACCAAACTGTCAAACCATCAAATGTCTGGTGTCATTACTGATCATTAGTGCAGCATCATGGCAGTTGCAGATCAAACAGAGGCTAAACGGCAGCTTAATTGGCTGAAAAGGATAAGAGAGTTTAGTTCCACTCTAAGGTAGACAATAAGGCATGTTTTACATGGGCTTCAGACTGTAGAAGAGTAGTGTAAACAGCAAGCTTTGACAAAGCATTTGCAGAGCTTTCAGCAAGCTTTGTTGAAGCTTTTAAAAGTACCATTCAGCTCCAGTTTGTTAATGTAAAACACAGAACCTAATGGGAGTGTTGATTGCCACTTTAAGCAAGCTGCTAGCAGAATTTCAACAAGCTTCACAAAGCGCTGAAGCCAGCTAGCAACTTCTTTAAAGTGGCAATCAACACTTGGATCTTTGTTCAAGATTTACAAACTGGTTTTGAATTGTACTTTAAAAGCATAAACAAAGCTTGCTGCAAGCTTTGCAAATTCTTTGACAAAGCTTGCTGTTCACACTAAAATATAGATAATATAGCGAGCGCTTCTCAATACATAATAAAATATAATATAAGCAGTTTGCATAAGGCAACCCCTAAAAACCTTTATCATGTATGCTGTTCACACTGCTCTTAAACAATCAAAACCTGTGTGAAACAGGTCTAAGCCCTGGTTCACACTGCTGCGACTTCAGGTGCAACATGCGATTTACAGATGCCTGATGAAGGGGTCCTGCGAGGTTCAGAAATGTTGCGCTTGCTGTAACTATGTGATCACTTAATAACGCTTTGGACCATATTAGAGATCCTCGGTGTGATGGTGACATTCTTTTCCTCTAACGTATTTCTATGACATGGTCCTAAAAGGTGTGCTTTATATAGCGATTCGCAAAATAGTTCCTGCATTACTCTTTCACCACTTCAGTGCGAATTAACTCTCATAGACTATAAGGTAAAGGGCACTAAAATCGCAACTGTGTCTATATCAGCGCTACTTTGAAGTCGTGCTTTAAATGGGACAAAATCGCACCACTTTGAAATCGTATTCAGTGTGAACCAGGACTTAGTCCCCTTTTTTTTTTTGAGGTAATATTAACCCATTATTTTATTTTAGGAATGCTTTATGCCAATAAGCTTGTATTATCACAATTTCACTGAAAGAAAAAAATAAAAAACAGTTATTAACGACTAAGTGGCTGAGTTTGGAACTGGAAAGTGTGAGATGTGAAAGCAATATACTGTATTTGCAATATTATGGAGCCATTTATTACTTTGCCATTTTCTTCAGAATCCAACTGGAAGAAAACATCCTCTACAGGGACCCAATTTTGAGTTATAAACCACAGTTTGTCCACCCAGAAG